AAGTTGGCATTCAGTAAGCAATTTTTGAACTGAAATGTTGATCAAATGAGAAAATATATGTGAAAGCATGATATGGATATTGTGTATTATAAAATCAGCCTAATTCACTCATTCAGGTGGCCACAATAACCAAAGATGTGCTGAGTAACAAAGAACATTAAGGTGGCAACAACAAATGAAATGTGGCCTTTGAGTGTGACCAGCGACAACACAGTGTAACTTTGATGCATCAGCGAGTTTCAAGCCAGCTGTGCGTTGCCGTGGTAGAGACATCACATCAGCTTCTTGAGTGGCTTCCTCAGCATTATCTACATGTCACACTTCACATTAAAAGGCAAAACAAAATCAGCGACAAGTTGAGAAAATGAAACCATCTCACTACCCACAAAGCTATGTTGCTTCTATTCAACTCTTTAGAGCTAGATAAGAGTGTGAATAGGATAGTGTAATTTTAGAGCTCTTATGATATGAGGAGTTATAAAGGGACTCGGAACATTTAAATGGGCATTGAAAACATACTGGTGTTAGAGTTGATAGCACAGCTCCCAGTGCATGGCAGAACTGTGGGTGACTGAGACACGTCAGCGGCAGACAAGCCAACACCAAGGGCCTCCTTTGTAGTCATAACATCTGGCAGCCCACTGAGCAGAAGCAGCTAAAGGAAAGCGGCTTGGCTGGCAGAGGTTGCTGCAGGTTCTTAATGGAGCCGCAGCACAGAACTGTTCATCAGGCCTCGTGAGCACATTCACAACATCCAAAGTGGAGATGTGACACATTCAAACTAAGCATTGTTGAAAATATTCAGAAAAAGTCAAATTTGGGCAAGACCAACTGGAAAATATTGGCATCTAAATAGAGTATTAAACTACTTACAGTGCCATTGCAAGCTATTGTGAAAACACATAGCTTCCCAATAAAAAATGCATAAGGCTTTATATATTTGTTTTGCTATTTTTGGTTTGGGGGAGATTTTGCAAGAAGAAAGGAGGAGTTGAGATTAAAAGATGTTTTATTTTAATGCTGAAAATGTTATGTTTTAGCCTTTATTTTTTTTTTTGAAAAGTAGCCAGAATCCAAGCACTGAGTTAATTTGAGGCAAATAATGACACCACCAGCAACTACTTGTTTTGAGCACCATGTGCCAGGCTCTGGACTAGGTGCTTTGCATGTATTAGCTTATTTGTTACTCACATAATCCCTGTTAGAGAAAAAATGCTATCCCATTTGCAGATTAGGAAACTGAGGCTCGGCGATGTTACCTCGTCCCAAATCACGTAGCTAATAAATGATAGAGCCCGTGTTCAAGTCCCCGGTTCTTCCCATTCACCACGAGAACCCAAAAGGAGTGAAATGAGAAGACAGGCGGACGATGTAAACATGACAGGACAAATGAGGGAGCAAAAATGAGAGCCGTAAAAGAAGGTAAGAAGAGACTAGAACAAAAAAGGAGACCAGGCATTGAGAAAGGGGGAATTCTTTAGACTGACTGGGTCCTTTTGAGTGGTAATGTCTTCAGTAACTGTAATCGTTCTGTATCATCTTGGCTGACTCCGTTTTGAGTGCTGTGGAACATCTTACCAGACAAGCCCACTTCCCACCTGATGTCGTACCTCAGAGGGCTATTTCAAAGCAGAGATTAGACAAGACATCTACCGCATAGCCTGACAGCTTCCAGGAGCTGGAAGGAAGTCAAATTGGAATGACTTAAATTTAAACGTGCCCTCGATGTATGTTCTCTAACTTTACATTGGCTCTGCAGAAAGGACTGTAATTTTTAATGCACTGGAAAGCAGATGGGGTCTGTCAGTGGGGAGCTAAAACAGAGGAAACTTGTCCAAATGTAAGAAAAATCAACAGCTTTCTCTTGTGGGTCAGTTTCATCGTACAAATATTTGCCACTAGGTGCACACAGCTGGTATTCATCAAAATAATAAAAGTCATATCGAATATTTATCGAGCAGTTCCTGTGTGCTGTTTTGCATGTATTTAATGATCAGAAGGAGCCTAGGAAGCTGCTACTATTATGGCTAAACACTCATTTTAAAGATGAGAAACCTTTTAAAGATGAGGCTCAGAAAGTTAAACAACCCAAGATCACTCGGCTGATAAGTAGCAGAACTGGGATTTGGATCCCAGGCCCTTCGTCATAACACTACGTTATACAGACGTTCCCGGTGGAGTGACTGTGAATGTGTAACCCAACACCTACATTTTTTGACACTGGTACTCCAGGGGGAAAAAAAAGAAAGGGACAGAAGAGGAAAGAATTACCTCGAAGCTAGTACCAGCTCTTGCAGAGAAAGACGTGTGGGTTGGACGATTGGAAGCAGCAGAGGTGGTCTGAACCCCCTGTGGTCAGGGCAGGAACCTGTAGCAAAGGGCGGGAGGAGAAAAGATGGAGCAAAAAGAAATGGGAGTAAAAGTAAAAAATTGAAACAAAGTGCGTGAGGAGGGAAAAGGGAAGAAAGAGAGTTCTTGTAAATCATTAAAGTATGAAAATTATATGGTTAAGTTTCTAATTAATCAAGGTCATTTCTCTAATTTACCCTTCTTATTTCTAATTTAATGGGCCAAACTGACCCATTCAACTCAGCCTTTGGACTTAATAGTGTCTGTTCTGACAGTTTCTCTCCACCCTGAGTAATGCTAAGTTCCACTCTGCAAGGTTAGTGTCTCCGTGAAGGGTGGGTGTGTCGTTTGGTCTCTTTTTTTTTTTTTCCTCTTGAAAGTTAATTAAGTCAACATTAACCATGGATATGTAACCACAGAATGGGCAGTTTCTTGAGGCTCGTGGTTTGGATCTTTCCCTGCAAAAATTCCTACTTTATAGTTATATTTAGTGTTCTGACTGCCTGAATTGCTGGCTTGCCGTGGGTCCATGTGTCAGGGGCTACGCCAGGCCCTGTTTGCAGCCGTGTTTGTCTGCTTCATGGAACCCCTGTGCCAAGAGTATGTGGTTCTCAGTGGACAGCTTCTGGATTCAGCCTCTCTTGTTTCTTCTCCAGAAATTTCCCTGGGTTTAGCATTGCCAATTTGATGCCGGATGGTCCTGCAAGTCTCAGAACTGTTTACTGCAGGTTGAAAATTTTTTAAGCTTGTTATAACCTTAACTCTGAAAGTAATATAGTATCATCACAGTTTGTGGTATGCACCCATCCTGATGACTTTGTTGATATAGGTGTGACTGAATATTAAAAAAAAAAAAAGTACTGCCCTTGCACAAAAGCCAGTTTTTTCATGTCAGTGCAGCTGTTTTAACTTTTAAGAAACCACAAGCATTTTATTCTCTAAAACTTTAATTTGAAAGGCATAGGACTTAAAGAAATACAGTGTTTCTGAAACTGGCATATATGTCTCCCTATTTCTGTTCTCTTTAAACTCTTAAGAGTTAAATAAAGTTCCTGAGTTGAGATATTGCATACAAACTTTTCAGACCATGTTATTACTGCATTCGTAGTAATCTTTGAGATGTTAAATTACAGGTAGAAGCAATAGCATGCATAATAGAAACAAAAGGTAACAGTAGCTCAGTTCTCATGATCTCTCTCAGTGAATTTTCCATGGGCACAGAAGCAGATGCCAGAAGGAAACAGTTGTGTGTTTTCACTGTAGCCCAACAAGTCATGGTAAATGTTATTTTGCTTCTTTTGTATGCTATAGCAACAATTCCACTTCCTATTACATAGGAAAACCTATTCTGCTGTTAAAAGAGATCACTAGATGTATTTATTACAACGTTAAGACCATTTCGTCCATGGAAATAATTTTTTATTGTTCTGAGTCACTCTGGTTCATGGAACTTTTAAATGAGTTCCAGGGCAAGGATGAGATGATGTATTTATTTTATTTCCTATCCTCTTTAATTTTTTTGACTGCATAAATGTCAGGCTTGTTGTCAAACTATTTCCATGTTTTGTTACGTTAGAAGTTACTCTGCTGTATTTGTGTCTCCTCAACTCTTCATTGACAGTTCACCATGTATGTTGGGCATGCTGAATTGTGGCAGAACTATCTGCTCTTCCCAGTGTCGTGTGATCTCTTGTTTTCCCCTTAGCCCCTATTCCTGTCTTCTCTGTGTGTGTCTTTATCATGTTAAAGATTGTACAGACCTTCAGAAATATTTAAATTGTTTTGTTGAGCCACTGGAAGGGCTTGAATTAAATTGTGAACTTCAGAGGGCATTTGTTATGTCTTAAATTTTTTTCCTTGTATTAAAGCAAACCTCACTGGAAGTATTCCCCAGTTCAGCCCAGAATATCTCTGAGCTTTAGACTCTACCCTGGAATCATAGAACGTCCCTGAAATTCATTTTCAAATATTCTTTGGTTTGATTGCAATTATTGTGTTTGTTAATCACCTCTAGGGATTTAGGTTAAATTTCAATAACCGTTCAGATTTACAGAGAAGCCTTAGATGTTCTGACATTTTAGAAAATGTTTGAATAGAAAACAATGAGTGTCCTGTGGACTGAAATTTCAAGTTACTGGTTATTGTCATTGATATTCCTTCTGTGTATTACTCTGTGTGTGTGCAATTCTGACTGACTGACTGACTGACTGACTGACTGACTGACTGAAGGTTTAGAATTGAGTCCTGTACTTTCTGGTGAGGGTAGGAGGATTGGGTGTTCTGCCTCCTAACTTTCTTGACTTATATGCCCTAATTAGTCATCCTTCCAACAGTGTCCTAACTTATCAGCCTCCATCAGTGTCCTAATTAGTCAGCATTCCAACAGAAAAAAGAACTATAATACTGACTTGAGCATAGACTAGAAGGGGACAAAATGGACAATTTCTGATAGATAACTTCTTCTCCTGCAAATGATCACAGCTGGTCCAAACTATACTGCATATATTCATATATTCACAAGGGTGTATGTGGGAGTGTGTGCATGCATGTGTACCCACGGGGGCATGATTCAATGTTCAGAAGTTTTAGATGATTGGTTTTCTTGTTAGAAAATGGTGGGCTATTAATCTGAATCATTTTATTTTCAACAGGTTGACATGATGAAAGAAGCATTAGAAAAACTCCAGCTCAATATAGTAGAGATGAAAGATGAAAATGCAACCTTAGATGGTGGGGATGTCTTATTCACAGGTATCGTATTTACTTTTTTATACCCAAAAATATTTTTAATACCTCGCTTATATCCACTTGTTCAATTATAGCCTTTTTTTAAATTCCCAAAGTAAAAAATGCTAAGCACAGGGAATTTGGAAAATACAGAAAAGCACAAAAGAGAAAAAAATGAAAACGATCTTTCATTCAAAGATAATCGTTCCAATATTTGGGTGTATTGTCCTTTTAGTGCTTTTGTATGTGTGTATTTGCATATTGTTACAAAAATGTTATCAGGATGTACATATCACTTTGTAGGTTGTGTCTAATATATTCTTCTGAGTTTATAGGTTGCATGGTTTTGCATTGGGTAACAGTATATCTGGTCTATTTTTAAAGATTATTAATTCAAGATGTGTCATTTACAAATAATTTTATTCCCAGATGGCAAGATGAATTTAAATAATTTTCAAATTGCCTAGGCTTAATGCAAGATGAATAATAGCAGAACTCAACAAAATATAAACAGCTAATATTATTATTGATGTAACTGGAATCAGTTTTTACAGTGGATATGACATAACTACTAAAGAAATGGTAATTTTAGCATTTAACTTTTCCAACTCTTTATGATCATATTATTATTGTTTTATAAAGTCAGGTGCTAAAATCTGGATCCTCTGATTTATTTTAGTTATACTGATAAGCAAGATTATCAAGAATAATTTTTAATTTATAGTGAGAGATTATTTTCCCCTAAATGTCAGAGAAGAAATGACTGTGTCACAGATACAGCCCTAACAGCAGCGGCTGGTCGCCAGGGCTTTGAAAATGTAGCCCCAAATGGCCCACGTAAAGCATGAAGCTTCTTGGAAGTCTAATATTTTAGCTGATGTGAATTTTATGTTGAATTCCATGTATATAAACAAAATATAGCCATCTTCATTTTAATGTAAAAATAATGTTTTGTATTACTTATATTTTAATATAATTAATGTTCCTGGAGGAGGAAGAGTATTTATCCTGTGACATTTGAAAAGTTCCTTGCTCAGTGTCACATACCTATAAGTGGGGCCACCATGTTGCCCAGCTCCAGGAGGTGCCATTCCTACCATAGGAATAGTATCCGCTGGAGTTGTGCTCTGTACAACGTATGCTACCACTGTCATAGGCAGTGGCCCTGCCCCTGGGGTTTGGTGTGCAGACCCTCTGAGCCATGAGAACACAGAACAGGAGTTAAGGAGGCCGACGCTGCATTCTCAGCTCGAGTTGTGACCAAGCAAACTCAGGCATTCTTTGAATCTGCCTAGTAAGTTCCCCCTAGAATATTCTTTGTGTCTCCCATTGACGGCACTTTCATTCTTTTTAGCAGCAGAGAACAACAGCGTGTTTCTGTTATAAAATAAGCTTTTGTGAAAAGCTAGATGTGTAAATCACACTCCCTTACAGTAGAACTCTTTTTTACCAGAACATAGCCATATAAATAAATAGCTTGTTGTAAGCAGGTACCAATGATATTTGACTTATGGTTTTAAACAAGCTGGGCTCACAGCCATGTAGTTCTCTTAACAGCTGAGCTGAGCAGATTCCCTAACATCTTCTCAGTGTGATGGTGCAACCTATTCTAGGAACCTCTTCCTTTGGTCAAAGGTCTTTCCTCAGCATCTGAAGCCTAATGTCTTTGCCCTAACTTCTAATTAGATGCTAAGCACTGAGGCTTGCCTTTGACACCAACTGTAAACTTTTTTTTGTAATGTTAAATACTTATGTTAATGTCTTAAAAGTTATTTTATTCAAAACTGAGGTGGTGTTGGGATATTAAGATCTTTTTCTGCTTGACACCTCGTTCACATCCACTGTCTGGCCCTGCCTTCTATTCCCTACTTATCAGTGTGTTTTCTTTTTTTTTTGTTTTGGTAAAATATATATAAAATAAAATCTGCCATTTTAAGTGTGCAATTCAAGTGGCATTAATTACATACACAGTATTCTGCAACCACTACCACTCAATTTTTGGATAGGCTGAGCTGGTAAGAAACAAAACCTGTAATACCTTCCATGGGCTCCATGTCCTCTTCCTTATGTAATTCAGAGCTTCATTAATAATTGACCAGGAAATGGACAGAAGGAAAGCAGCTTTCCAATTCCGTTTCCACTGAAAAATCTGTCAGTCAGGCAAGCAGCTACTAGCAGAAATTGTTTTAATCCTATTTCTCTTAAGTAGACATCAACTTACCTCTCCTTTTATTTATTTATTTTCGTGAAATATGGAGCATATAAAAAAGAGTAATAAAACGTTTATGTACAGTTTAGAGACCAATTATAAAATGAACACCTGGGCCCACCATCTGGCTTAATAAATAGTACATTGCTGGGACTCTAGAAGCCCCAGGTGGTCCCCCGGTCCCAACCTCTCCCTCCTCCCAGCTTGGGGTAACCACTGCACTGAATTTTGTGTTAATCACTGCCTTGTCTTTCTTTGAATTTTACCTCAATATTTGTGTTCGTAAATTATGTGTTGTTTAGTTTTGCTTGTTATATGGCTTGATGTGATTGGGGTCGTGCTGGATGAACTCTCGTGTGATTTTTCTGCTTTTGATCTAACTGAATGCGTGTAGCAGTATTTATTCATTTTCACTGCTGTGTGGCATTCTGTGGGAAGAATATACCACGATGTATTCATTTTACTGCGCATGTGTATTTGAGTGTTTTCCAGTTTTTGTCTATTATCTTCAGGGCTGCTGTGTACATTCTTGTGTGTGTCTCCTGGGGACATGGATAAGATTTTCTCTAAACTAAACACCCAGAAATGAAATTTCAGGTCATAGAGTAAACTTTTTTCTTCAATGAGATGATTATATGATTTTCTTTTATAACCTGTTCATGTGGTTAATTATTTTAATTGATTTTCTGATATTTGGCCAGTCTTGCATCCCTGGGATAAAATCAAACTTGATCATGATGTATTCTGTTTTTAATACAGTGTTGGATTTAGTTTGCTAATATTTTGCTTAATATTTTTATTTCCGTGGCCTGTAATTTTTCTTTCTCTTTATCCTTGTCTGGGTAAAAGAGTTATGTTAACTTCCTAGAATGTATTAGGGAATTTTTCCTATTTTTCTATCCACTAAAATCAGTACTATTTGACTTGTGCATTCCTTCAACCTTGGTAGAACTTCCCTGTAAACAGGACCTGTGGGCCTGGGCCTTCTTTGTGGGGAGATTTTAAATTGACTTTCTTTCTGTAATGATTACATGACTATTTAGGTTTTTCTGAGTCGGCTTTGGAGAGTTCTGTTTTTGAAGATTTTTTTCTATTTTATCTAAGTTTTCCAAATGTTGGGTGTAAAGTTATTCATATCTTCTTAATATCAGTTTTAAGCTTCACAGCAGCTAAAGCTTTGTCCTCTTCATTGGTAAAGTTTATTTGTGCCTTCTCTCTTTTTCCTTCCAAAGGTCTGTCAATTTTGTTTATCTTTTCAAAGAACCAACTTTTGGCTTTGTTGAGCCCTCTCTGTTGTACGATTCCTTTCCTCTTCCTGTTTCTATCTTTCTTTCTTTCCTTCAACTTAGTTTTTATTCTGTTGTTTTTTTCTTACATTTCACATTGGAATTTTATCTCTTTGGTTTGAACCTTTCATCTTCTTAATGTAAACATTTAAGGCTATGGAACTTTCCCTCCAACTGCTTTAGACTGAATCCAGTGTGGTTTAGTATGAATATTTTTGTTATCATTAGTTCTAAATGTTTTCTGATTTCCACTATAATTTATTCTTTGACTCATTAGTGGATAATGAAGTTTTTTAAAAAAACGTCTTGGTCATTATTGTAAGTTTCTGGGACACCAACTCATTACTCTGATAGCTGTTATGTGAAGGAAAGACTCAAGCATTTAGCCTATCTTTCCTTTATGAATTCTGTTTCAAGTAGACCAAATACTTCATTGAGGAAGGCTTTTCTTTTTAGAATTCTAGCCAGTAAATGTAGATCCCTAATACAATAATGGAACTGTGCAATGATAAAGGATTTTAAAACTATTATATGAAAGCTTAATGGGGAACTTTATAATAGAGGAGTCAGGCTGATACCACCTGAACACTCAGATCATTCTAGCATCACTGAAGATGTGACAGTCAGGAGTGCACCTCATGATGTGAGGCAGTAGAAACACAGCCCTGCCTCGCCAGTAACCCTATCAAAAAAAAAACCATTGAACAAGAATCGAAGTAAGCATCTATAGGAAACTATCAATTTTCTGAAAATACAAAGAATAAAGGAACAATTTAATGTTCAATAATACACAAGGAAGCAATCAGCCAGATCCAGAATGTAGGATAGTCAACAGGACAAATGGCTTGGTTTCTCCTATAAAAGAATGAGATGAGGAAGGGAAAGAAAAAGAGAGCAAATTGGTAGAGAAGAAAATGACAAAAGAGACGTAACAACCAAAAAATTTTTTTTAATATTTCTGTTCTAGCACTTTAGTTATTTTTATCAGAAAGGCCATTTAGGGGATGTAGTTCGTCATACTGCTAGAAACAAAAGTCCAACTTACTTTGTAAAAGTTTGCTTTTCTTTGTACTTTCCTATCTCACCTTAGTCTTTCAAAATGGAAATAATGTGGAAGCCCCATTATAAATTTGTTTAAATTTGCTTAATGCATTAAATGTTTTTCTTAAAAAGTATGTATAAACCTAATTTATACAAGTATTTTTATATTAAAAGAATTTAAGAAATTTGGGGTTTTCTAATTGCAGCTGACTTTTTTAATAAAGTGAATAATATTTTTGTTAAGTGAGAGACCTTTCCCTTACTTAAGTTTTAATTTGTATGTAACAAGTTTTATTAAGGACAAAACAATCATATCATTACCAAAACACTGTCAGTGTGCCACCCAAGATTCCTGTGTCTGCCAACACATAAGCCATTGGAGTTTATCATAACATCGTTTGACCTAAGTCATTTACCCCTTTTATAAGGACAACGTGAAGATTAAAGTTAACATTTGTGAAGTCTGTTGAGCAATTCCTTCTACGTGACTACTCTTCTTATACTTCACCCTAATGTTCTGGGGCAAGAATATACTGATTTCTCTTTTGATATTTTTTCCACATTTCATGTAGAATTCTTTTCCAAAGAATTAAGGGAGGATGGGAATCCCCTTATTTATGTATTGCCTAACTCTACCCACTATAATTGTTTGTTTCCCTATAACTAGGAGACCGTTTTTATTTAATGTTTTGCCTTCTGAGAAGAAAAATTGTAGAATTTCAGAAAAGCCAAGTAAGTAGAAAGTTACGTCCTCCTAAACTTTAGTACTTTGTAGATAGGCATCTTTGATGTTTTGATTTGAAATAAATGGATGCATAGTTTTAAAGACAGCTCTCAGAGGTCAGACCTGAAGACCCCATCAGCACTAAACTCACTTTTCCCAGGTGGTTTCTTCAGCCCTTACATCAGCATTAGAAGAGAAGGAATCCAACTTCATCAAGAATGTCTAGTATTGTTCTTTTAGGGGGAAAAAAAAGGAGGCACTGCTAACTTGTCATTGCTATTACTTAATTCCTGATAACAGATTATGAATGTGTTTAACTCTGCTATTTCCTAAATAAAAACTTTATGCTTATTGTGTTAAACTATACATAGCATAAAATTTACTATTTAACCATTTTTAAGTCTACAGTTGAGAGGCATTGACTACGTTCATGTTGTTGTGCAACCCTCACCACCATCCATCTCCAGCACTTTTTCCCCTTCCCGACTGAAGCTCCGGACCCGTTAAACACTGACTCTCTGGTTCCCTCTCCCCTCAGCCGCTGCCATCCCTTCTACTTTCCACTTCTTTGAATTTGAAGAAGTTTATTTCTAAGGGCAGTAATTTGAAATCAGATTTGTGTAAGGAGATCAGAGGTCAGAGGACAAGTGGAACTGCCTTCTGTGGTGAAAAAGAACTGTGTGATGCTTTAAGGTCATTATTTATAGATAAAGAGTACACCGTCACCAGTGCCACCTACTCACTATGTTCCATGACATTTGTTATAGGCAGAGAATTTTTTGTGGGCCTTTCCAAAAGGACAAATCAACGAGGTGCTGAAATCTTGGCTGATACTTTTAAGGTAGGTAAAGGATAATTTATGCCTGGCACAGAGTAATTACTTAATAAATATTCATAGATCCATTGAATCAATATGTCATGAATAATGCTATTTATATGTCATCAGCTTTACAAAATAATTCCTAACGTGTATGTTTGCTAGAAGTTTTAGAAGCTATCGAATTCAAATTTCTCAATAAATAGGCGTCATTGGGCTACCACAGACAAAGTTATGGACATCTTCGGTTTTCTCCAAGTGTGTAATCATACAACCACCTGGCAAATGTTCCAGGCACAATCAATGACTTAAAAAAAAAATCTGGAGACCCAATTGATTCTGAGATGAAATGTGGATTTTTCAGATTGGAATCAAAGATCCCCTGTACTTGGGTGCCTACTAAGTGCTGGAAGCTGTGCTGGGTATTGCACATACATCCTCTCAAGGTCCCTTTACTCTATTGGTCATTCATAGATTGACTCACCAGACTGCTCAGGAAGGGATATAACCCCCAAGAAGCTCTGTTCCCCATGAAGACATGAGGCTCCGGTTTGCCCAGGATATTGAGACACATCCTTCCAGAGCAGCCCACTCTATAGATCAACCAGCAAAGCTGTTGGCACAGTCACACATCTGGAAGGAGGCTCTGTACTTTTTTCTTAGAAGCAGTCTTCACTTAACTGGCAAGACCAAAACCTGTGGGTCCCAGCTTTTCTTCCAGACATTTAGGGTCCCTGGCAGCCTCCAGAGGAGCAGGCATGTTTCAGACAGGTTTAAATAGGTTTTACAATTATTCTACAATGACAAACCACTTGTTTCTGTTATATACATAGGACTATGCGGTCTCCACTGTCCCTGTGGCTGATGCTTTGCATTTGAAGAGTTTCTGCAGCATGGCTGGGCCTAACCTAATTGCAATTGGATCCAGTGAATCTGCGCAGAAGGCCCTCAAGGTAAATACAAAACTATGCTCTTTCTAAGTGCAACAGGCAATGCCTGCCACATGGTTTTTCTAATTCTGCCTGCTGGGTGGGCAGCAAGCAGGGGTGGCAGGGAGAGAACAGGCTGGTACTTGAGCTTTCTCTGATGTATACTGTTGTGACCAAACATTCGTTAGGAACTGGGACCACCTAAGTGTAGGAAGAACTCTTTTCTGGTGAACCATTCTTACTCACACACCACATTTCCTCGAAAGACCATGATTCACAGTAATAAACACTAAACTCATCACCGTTATTTCCTCGGGGGAAAAGGAAGATGTGCCACCAGTAGAGTTCCTTGTAAGGTTTTGTCTCTTTAGTCGGGTAGTTGTTACACAGGGGTTGTCATATTATTCTTATGCTTTTGTAGGTCTGAGCTATTTCATAATAATCTTTCAGAAAGCTATGATTCATAAGTACCTAAAAACCTTACCTTCTTCAGTTGCATTTGGAATACTTAAATTTTAGGACAGGAACTTTTCTCATTTCACACAGGAGAATAGGGAGCCCAGAAAAATTGTGACTTGCCCAGGTCACATCAAGAGTGGAAGTCATTGATAACGAAAAAGACCTTCCATTGTCACAGTGCTTTCCAGTTCAAAGACACTTTCTTTCTCTGTAGCTAACAACCCTGTGAGAAGATATAGATGCTCCATAAAGACATAGACCATATCAGTTTTGCTCACCATTGAGCTCCTTTGTGCTTGGCCCCTAATGGGCCCTTAATAAATATCTGGTGAATGCATGAATAAATGAATGAGAGAGGTGGTATTATCTCTGTTTTGCAGATGAGAACTAGATCGAGTGATTCACCCCAGGTCACAAGGCTGATGCTAAATGGTAGGCTGGGACCATTGCCCCTTCTTCTCAGGTGGTCCCACACAACAGGATACAGGACTTACTAAAGGACCAAGCTAGAAACTCCTCTTAGGCAAAGAGGAAATATGTGTGCCCCAAGGTGCATAATTTACTTTTTTGCCCTTTCAGGTCTTTACTCTTCTACTTCAGTGCTAGACTTGGCGCAGTTTGTCTGGGAAGCAGTCATTGCCTCCCAGTTGCTGAATTTCCCCTCTGCTTTATCAGCAGCGTCTTCAGCCAGCTCACCTGGTCTTTCTGTCTTCCTTTTCTCAAACTGTATCTTTGATTGTATTTCTAGGACTTTTAACAATTGTTGCAGAACAATCTGCCTCAGAATTTGAACTTGCTGTCTTTTTCTGTTTCATTTAGAGAATCTCTTGTTCTGCCCATTCTGCAAGGCTAGGTCTGCCTTCTGCATGTAAAAAAGATGATGTCTTGAAGGAAAGCATTTGATGAATGGTGTCGCTCAGAGGAGCTAGGAAGATTATTTTTCTCCTTAGGGACTAACTGTGGGTGTCCATCCATGGCAGCTGGGTTGGTCTGCATATGTCTGAAATTGATTACAAGGGAAGGAGAAGGCTGAAGCTGACCTATACTGTGCCTTTGTGTGAATTAACAGAAGGAACCTCTTCTGGATAGACATATCAGAAAAAGTAGCTCCATCTGCCATTCTGGGTAGACTAGGTCCCTAGTTCAAATAGCTTGGCCCCTAGCTCAATAGGTCTCTAAGTCAAATAGGTCCCTAACTCAAAAAGCCTGGAGAAACTAACATAACAAACTAAGAGGTAATATAACGTGGTTAACTAGCCCTACACTATATAAAATAGCCCTAACGGAGTTAGGGCTAGATATCCAGAGAAAGCTTTGTGGAGGAAAATGTGGCTGGATGTGGATCCTAAAGGATTTGGCAGAGTGGGATTCAGTGAGAGAGTGTTCCAGGTAGGGACATGATATAAGCAAATACTGAGCGAGGTACATACATGTGATATGAGCAAACTAGTCCAACTAATGAAGAGTTTTCTTGTGGGCTCTTAGAGATACAGCTGGATGGGGCAGGTGAAGTCTGAAGAGGTAGGGACTTAAAATGAGGAAGAAGATAACTTTATCTCCATAAAGCAGGAGTCTGGGTACCAACAGGACTTTGAGCAGAAGGGTCTGTATTGCTTCAGGGATGTTGGACCATCATTCCTTTTGCAAAAAAAAAAAAAAAATTGAAGAGGGAAGAAAGGAAGATCACTGATGACCTGGAAAAAGAAAGCCTCAAGTCCCTTTGTTGCCTTGATAACTCACTGCCATTTCTCCATTCGTCCTTCCCTTCCCATTGTCAAGTTCTCTAAGATGACGTCTTTTAAGGGCATCCTATGAGGACTTTATAGTTCCCCTTCCCGTAGAGTTCATTTGAGTTAGTATTAATAATGATGTTCACTCTATACTTGAAACTTTCTGTGTCAGAAGCTATAAATAATCCTCACTGACTAGAAAGAGATTCTTTGGAGAATGTATTTTCCATCAGCAAATGTGCTTCCTAAACTGTTGGCCTGCAGAGTTGGCAAATGCCCACCTGCCGTGTTCCTAGCTTCAAAAAGGTCTTCTTACCTTGTAGTGAAAGCAGGAGGATAAACTGAACCGAAAAATAATGAGATCTCCGTGAGGGCATGTTCTCAGGTCAAAACTAGGTGGGTCGGTGAAATTCAGATTTGGTGGACTGAACTGCTTATTTATTTGAGAGCAGTTTTGGCTCCTGGATTAAAACAATCAATAAAATTGATAGTGGGGTAAGTCCTACTACTATTTTGGAGATATAAATACTGATATAGATAGGCAGGAAGACAAATGGGTAGAGACAAATACACCATTTGCAAGTAATGAAAGCATATCAATTTTATTGTTTCCATTTTGCAGGTGAATATACTGAGATGTGTTGGTAAGGCATTTTGAATAGGATCTCTTGGTTTCAGAATCAGCTTTCCTCGGCCCTGATTCTCCTCTCCCCAGTTGCCTACCCTAATGCATACTCATTCTTTTTCTATTGGAAAACCTTTCTTAATTATTTTGTCATGGATTTGTTCTAGCTGAGCTTCCTCTTTCTCCTTCCCTCTCTCCACCTGTCCTCCCCTTCCCATTTTTTGTTGGTATCCAGGGTCTGACCTGTCTCAGGGAAGATGTGACTTTGGTCCTAGATATCTATTTTTCCCTTGAAAATCTTGATGTTGCAATCTTGTCTCCATAGAGAAGCCCCTGGCCACTTGGGCATCTCTTTGAAGGGCATAGCATTTAAACGGAGGTGAGTTGTGCCTGCCTGTGCCACACACTGAAGCTTGATTACTTCCCACGTCTGTCACTGCTTGCTGAGTACTTGCTTCCTTCAGAGTCTGAAAACTACTTCTATTTATGCAAAGTTGAGAGCTGAACGGTTCCTGGGTAGTCTTAGTCCACTTGAAACTCTTTGTTATGGGTTGCAATCTATTTTTGGCTAACGAAGTGGGTTCCTACGGAGATAGTCATCATACCTGTCTAGGTCGTAGTAGACGTAATAGTGTACATGTTGTGTATTTAAATGAAATCATCCATCTAGGAAGACTTTAGCAAGTCTCTGTTAAACAAAGCCCAGAGCACATTTAAAACAGAGTACATTTAATACACATTAACACAGAGTATATTTAATATAGGGAAGGAAGAAAGGAAGACATATTATTACTGCATTTTACCATTGATATGGCTAAGGTTCTGCAGGTTAGGCTGATTTGAACAATTCCTAAAGATATTAGCATCAAGTCATATCCTAGGAATGCTATTATCTAAGCAAATTTAGCCTTTAGAGCAACCTGCCATTTCTATAGTTTTTCTCCCACACTTTCCATCACGCCCTTCATGCCCCTGGGGAAGTACCACCTTCATCCTGCCCCTCAGGCTATAAAAGAAAATAGTATAAGATGAATTCATTCATACACAGGCAGGAGACCTATTAGTGCTCTTGCGGAAGGAATGCTTGCCTTCTCAAAGAAGATGGGAACTGCACTGGCTCCGCTGGAACTGCTGCTCCCAAACATGATTTGAGCAAAAGAAGCCAATCGCCGAAAAGTACATATTTCATTATTCATTTAAAGTTAAACAAGAGACAAAACTGCTCTGTGCTGTTAGCAGTCAGAATAGTGGTTACTTAAAGGAGAAAGGGAGTCGTGGTCCAGAGGGCCACTTTATGTGTTACACTTGAATTTTGAAAATTTAGGAAAAAATGCTTATATTGTACTGTTGGAAGTGGGCTATGATTAACTCACAGAAACAGTTCTTCAATAGCTGGGTCTAGCTCTCAAACCCATGCGTTACCTTCTACATGATGCCTGTCTTTTCCACAGACTAGCCTGCTTTTTATTTTTTTAACTAAGAAAAAAAAAAAGACTGACACTTTGTACTCCTTAACCAACATCTCCCCATTTCCCATCCCCCTCCATCTCTTGTACACCTTAAATATATACAATTTTTAACAGTTAATTATACCTCAATAAAGTTGGGGAGGAAAAAAAAGACATAGTACAGAGTAGATTTGTACCACATCTCACCCATTCTTTTTCCAGATGCATTCCAAAGTTGACTTCCTTTCCAGGAACTTGGATTAATTACATGCTGTCTGTCACAGGAGGACAGATTGTAATTCCTGCCCTCCGGAGGGACTTGCAGTAATGATTTTTATAATTCAATCTCCTGAGTAGCATTCAGTCAGGGGGAAAAATAGAAAGGAAGGAAGGATGAAAGGAGGGAAGGAAGGGGAGAAGGAAGCAGAGGAAGTGACACTTAACTAAAATTTTCCTGAAACTAATCAGATGAGGAGGCTGCTGACCTACTGGAGCTCCAGGGGCTGCAGTACTGACAAGTTGGGGGGCTGTGCCATCTGCTGGCCGGGCAGCAAGAGGAGCAGTCTTACCTTCTTAACCCCGTGTAGCAGACCAGTTACTTTCTCTTTTTGGCATCTGCACTTTTGTTTAATGGCCTTTTTTTATTAATAAGGGATAAAGGGGCACATATGTATGGTGACAAATAGAAGCTAGACTATTGGTGATGAACACAATGCAGTCTATATAGAAACTGATATATAATAATGTACACCTGAAATTATA